TCCGACACTTGGTTTTATGAACGTACGGGAGAATATCTTACGAATACCGGCTAGTCGAACACGTGACAACTATATGACAAGCATTCCTAATGGAATATACAATGAAATATTGATTCTTACGTTCTGTTGAAATTCAAGTCGATAATTATACGGATATGAAAAAAAATGTGAAAAGGTAAGTAATGTCAAATTTAACAACACAATACAATACACTACGATTAAAACACATGTTGAAATACATGTCCGACACTTGGCATTATAAACGTACGGAACAAAACCATTTAAATCTCCGCTAATCGAGCACGTGAATACTATGTGACAAACATTCATAATGGAATATACAATGCAATATAGATACTTACGGCCTGTTGATATTCAAGTCGATAATTATACGGATATGAAAAAAATGTGAAAAGGTAAGTAATGTCAAATTTAGCAACACAATACACTACGATAAAAACACTTGTTGAAATACAAGTCCGACACTTGGCATTATAAACGTACGGGAGAATATCTTTCGAATACCGGCTAGTCGAACACGTGACAATTATATGACAAGCATTCCTAATGGAATATACAATGAAATATTGATACTTACTTTCTGTTGAAATTCAAGTCGATAATTATACGGATATGAAAAAAATGTGAAAAGATAAGTAATGTCAAATTTAGCAACACAATACACTACGATAAAAACACATGTTGAAATACAAGTCCGACACTTCGTAGTATAAATGTACGGGACAAGATCATTCAAATACCGGCTAGTCGAATACGTGATAACTACATGACATGCATAATGGAATATACAATGAAATATTGATACTTACGTTCTGTTGAAATTCAAGTCGATAATTATACGGATATAAGAAAAATGTGAAAAGATAAGTAATGTCAAATTTAGCAACACAATACACTACGATAAAAACACATGTTGAAATACAAGTCCGACACTTGGTTTTATGAACGTACGGGAGAATATCTTTCGAATACCGGCTAGTCGAACACGTGACAACTATATGACAAGCATTCCTAATGGAATATACAATGAAATATTGATACTTACGTTCTGTTGAAATTCAAGTCGATAATTATACGGATATGAAAAAAATGTGAAAAGATAAGTAATGTCAAATTTAGCAACACAATACACTACGATTAAAACACATGTTGAAATACATGTCCGACACTTGGCATTATAAACGTACGGGACAAGACCATTCAAATACCGGCTAGTCGAATACGTGATAACTACATGACATGCATGATGGAATATACAATGTAATATTGATACTCACTGACTGTTGAAATTCAAGTCGATAATTATACGGATATGAAAAAAAAGTGAAAAGTTAAGTAATGTCAAATTTAGCAACACAATACACTACGGTTAAAACACATGTTGAAATACAAGTCCGACACTTGGTTTTATGAACGTACGGGAGAATATCATTCGAATACGGGCTAGTCGAACACGTGAAAACTATATGACAAGCATTCCTAATGGAATATACAATGTAATATTGATACTTACAGACTGTTGAAATTCAAATCAATAATT